TGCTGACCGACTTGGGAGAGGCGCCTCGTTCTCCTCCAGTTCTGTACGTAGACAACAAGGCTACCATTGCCTTGTGTCAGGAGCACAGACTGGAGCACAGAACGAAGCACATCGCTCTGCGTTACTTCCTTGCTCGAGAGTTGCAGCAGCGTGGTTAGCTTCGTCTTGCTTACGTGGCCATTTGGGCCAACACTGCTGATATATTCACCAAGGCACTTCAGCCTTGTGATCATCAGCGCTTCTGTACTGTTTTAGGACTTGTGCCTACTTTGCCTCACTTGCTCACTTCGTGACTTTGCTTGTACTGTGATATATATACTTATACTTGCCTGCTTACACTTGCTATGTTGTGATCACTGTACTGCTTGTTTCCATTGGTAGGACTCTGCATGTGAACTGGCCTTGTGGCCATTTGCTTGTGCTCAGAGTGTATGGTGACTTCGTGATCCACCATGAGCTTGGTTTGCTTTGTTCTTCTCTTGAGTGGTCTTGTGACCGTTGTTTGCTCTGGATGTCCCCCACTTCGCCTATGGGGGTGTGTCAAATATATATGTATATGTATTAAGTTGTCTAGGCTATATAGGGGCTAGCCTTAGGGGGTATAGCTTTCACCTCGACACTCTTGTTTGTACCCCATCCTAGACCTAATCAACACACTTCTCCTAAACTCTCTCGACAGGGTATAACATGTTTCTCGCAATGATGGGGCAGATTTGGCGAAATGTCATTTATTCCGTGTATCAGGTGAGAAAATGTGTACACCGGCATACATATCTTATCGAGTCTGAGCATAAAGGATACATCTTCATGCTAGAAAATGTGAGAAAATGTGAAGGTGGTGGGAAAATGTGTACACAAAAAGCATTTTCATGCCAACAGTCGAGTCATATGCCTTCTCTTCCTCAGTTGCTTGACTCTCATCGGCATAGTCTGTCCACATGCATGTTGTTCCTAGTCACTATGATTGATCTTCATTATTCTCATCTTTCTGAACACATCTGCTGTGGCATTCCATGGGTAACCACCCACACTCACCATGATACCTTCCACTCCACCACCCGTGTGTGTTCTTATAACGATGTGTGACAGTTCAATCCAGTCACAGTGACTCAACCTGATGGTGGACAGCCATCAGGGAGTAGTTGAATTGAAACAAACTAATGTGACACAATTGGCTCGGTTATGCACATAAAAACAAAACAGTTTTGCAACCTGTGCTTTGTGTGTTCTCATGGTGATGTTTGACAGTTCAATCCAGTCACGGTGACTCAACCCGATGGTGGACAGCCATCAGGGAGTTGAAACAAACTATGGGGAAAAGATTGGCTCGGTTATGTACACAATAACAAAGCAGTTTTGCAACATGTGTATTGTGTGCTTTTATGGTGATGTGTGACAGTGAGTCAACCCGAAGGAGGACAACCATCAGAGAGTAGTTGAAACAAACTAAGGTAACACAATTGGTTCAATGATGATAGCTTAAAAACAAGAAGCATCTCTTGAGTAGCGGTTGAACCCAGCGGCTCTCACAGAGCCAAGGCCAGGCTCCCAAGCTAAGATTTATTTGCCTTTTTATTGTGAAGGTTCTCCACCAAAAACCTCCTGAATAGCAGCATCGTACGGTTGTAGCACGATGTTACACGTTGACTGCAGGAGGATAGCCTCCAGGCTGCGGGTAAGTTGCACCAGCCGCAGGCGGGGCATTGGCGGCGTAATTCGCCTCGGCGATCTTGCGGTTTCGGCGCAGGCAGCAGAAGACGACAAGGACGATAAGACCAACGACGAGAGAAACTCCAAGCCACAGCACCACGCGAGGCCAGCAGCTGTACGAGCACCCCCCTGCGACGAGGAACGAAGGGAAGGAAAGAAACGAACGAACGAACGAACGGAAGTGCTATTTTGAAAGTCCCAGAGATTGACAAGATTGAATCCTATCAGCAGCAGCACGCGTGGCCTGCAGCTGTACGAGCAACTCCCTGCGAGGGGAACCGAAGAGCGAACGAAGGAAGCGGGAAAAAGGTAGAGAAGGAAGTCGACTCAATATGCACCCCAGCAGCTGCAGCTGCAGGCGCAGTAAGAACGGAGGGGTAGAAGGTCGATTACGGGATAGCCTTTTAGTCCTCTCAAAATTACCTACAACGGAAAGGGCGAAACCGGTAGAAGCGGAAAAACAAGGACGAGCGGGGAGGAGGAGAAAGCCAACAGCTGTACGAACACCCCCCTGCTTAGAATGCGTTATGCGCCTTTCACAGCAGGGGCACACGGACAGTGCGTGGAGCTTTTATCGCTGAAATAAGCGATGCACAGGTACGGCTTGACTGTCGCCTCGCACGTCTGATGGGGAGGCGGAAGGAGGGAGAGGGTGGGGAAGAGGGGAGGGGGGAGGGGGGAGGGGATTCATAAGTTGTAATGGGAGCGGTATTTATAACTCTAATATGCACGAGTTTTGGAAGTATGGGAGTTACTCTAGGCCGCAGCGAATGGCTCGTAGACTAAAATAGTGCAGTTACTTTTATTATTGTTTCCTGAGTTTTCTTAAAAGCATGAACAAATCACCTGGCAGTTGGAGAGGCAATCCGAGCGCATAAACGTTTCTGTGTAAACCCCACAGAAGGAGGAACAATCGGTGCCGTATGCGACGTCCAGCAGCAGAACCAAAAGGAAAGCCGAGAAAAAAAAACGACGAGTTGACTTTCTATCGAGAAAGGCCATCTCAAGCGGCGGGGGGACGAGGACGGGTCAAAAGTTGGGTCAAAAGTTGACACGCAAAAGCTGGAAGGAGAGAATAAGGTAAAACGCGCCTGACTATGTGAAGGGTCATTGAATGAGGAGCACACAGCCAAAGAAGCCGCTTATATGATGCTTCTCTCCTCCCTTATGGGTTGTGGAGTCAGAGTTGGGCAAGCCGTGTGGCTTTGGTGCTCCCAATAATTGTGTTTCACTCAATTGCGAAGCTGACGTACCTTGCACCAGAATTATGGATGGGCGGTTCGCGGAACACAAACGTTTGTCGAGGTTTGGCGCGGCTCCAATAATTTTGGCCACCGAGATTCATGGCAGACGCTGACTTGCATTGACTGATGTAAAATATATCATTCATAGACACTCCAAAGCGCGTACATGAGTACACCTTCTACATCCACGTTGGAGGCTTTATACAGTATTACAGTATACAGTATTCTCCGACAAGTATGGTTGGCTCGCTGTGATGCTGCATGGCGGGCTGTTCCGTTTGGAAGGAAGAAGGTGGGCCGTGTTGCGGTGGTGAGTTTCATGTCACATGCACGAGTCGTGCTGGCTGCGAGACCAAGAGAGGCGGCGAAGCGAGGGGTGAGAGGGAGTGGTGAGAATGATGCGTGGAGCCAGGTGGCAGATGACGAGAGGAGAGCTCTGAAAGAGATCAGTTCGGCGGATGGCTCCACCAGGTGGACAGATGCTTTCATGTCTATCTGGCGGAACACGCGGACAATGTACCAGCCGCCGTAGATGGTATAGGGGGGACGGACCTTAGCCCCGATATGCTAGGTCTCAGCCTCCCAAGTCTACAGTTACGACTGCGGATCTTTGTATGTTTTCATCAATATACTTTTATCCACACAAAAAAATACATGTGAGATGATTAGTTTATGGTTAAGCTGTTCACGAAGCAACCGAAAACTGTAACTCTAAATCTTTACCACGTCCCTCGTTTCGTTGACACCTGGAACAAAAATGCGTTGCTTTTGCCGCGTCGCGCCACACTTCACCATGGTCCCACCAATACGACACGAACCCAACACGGACTGTCTGTCATTCCGACCCAGTTCGCAATACAGTACACCTAGTCCGCGATATTTACACTTGTTCGTTTACAGTTCATGTTGAGCGTGGTAACCCTTTTTTTACATTGTAACCAGACAAATAATGATACTGTAGATGCAACTCCACGATGACGCGCCACTGTGGTGAAGTGTAGACGTCAAAAGATGCGTTTTTCCCACGTGCAAAAACCGCAGCCTTGGTACGTGCGACAATAGCGTACTGCGTCCTGCAGTCCGTTACCCCATGCTGAAAATCGCCCAACCCACAGTTTAGCGGAAAAAACGACAATCGCAAAGGGATCCCGTGAGCTCCGTCAGATTCTGCTCGGACAATTCGCCCACCGGCGGGTAACCGCTCGCGGCCCAGGTGATTCTGGTTCGGAAGATGGGCTTGTTTGGGCGGGGCTGTGAGTCCGCGTGGGAAATTTCGTTTTGCACTAGAGCTGACGCGCTGCGTGTTTTTTTCGTCAGAGTGTACACTCTTTTGCTGACTCGAGATTACGTAAAAAACTTGTGTTTCTTCCAAAACGAACAAGTGGGACACGCCCTAACCGCCGCTATCTTACCCACGCAGGGGTACTACTCCGTGGTCAAGATTGAATACAAGGGTAGTTTAACCAATTTATGAGAGTAGAGTTACGCGTCCCCTTCGCGAGGTCACGTCAGGTTGCAACTCTGATGATGCCAAAGAGCCCCCTATCTCGGAGAACTAAGTGTGGGTTTTCCAAAATAAAAGTGTCCCGGCTGTATTCTAATAGCCCCGAGGTCTCTGGGTGCCCATCCTATTGGACAAAAATGTACACAGGATGTTTTAAACAAAAAGGTTCACGTGGTTAAAATACCGCGGACTAGGTTGTAGGTTATGCGAGTCTTGCTAACGTTTTTCTCGCGACGGGCTGTCTGACGAAATCTGCGAAACGTGTCGAATCATGATGGGTAGTTCATGTCGAATTGGCGAAACCGCCTCCCCTCGCCTGTCACCACCACGATACGTGATAACCACGCCTCATCTCCTTCTCCTATATATGAAGTTCCTCCTACCTAATTCATTTGCCATGCTCTTATTGTTTGCAGAAGCGCAACGGTGCCTTTTAGGGTTCTGACTAGTTTTTTGTTTTGTTCTTATTTGTTTCACTTATTCCGACTAAGCGATCCCGTGACGGCAGAGTTGTATGACAAGCAGATTCGTTAAAAAGTTACATGATGTTAACTTCGACGGCAGTGACTGTGATGGGCAAAGGCGGCATCATGTGGAAAGAGGTCCTCATCGTGTGCTCTTTCACCTTCCTCGCCGTCGTTATTCTCGAGAATCGATCCGTTCAAGGTAACAGGCAGCATTAATTAGCGTCCTGAAGTTCGCCACATGAGAAACACCAGTTTTGTTCATGTTCATTGTGAGGCTGCACCGGATTTGGTGAACATTTGCCGATTTAACTTCAGAGTCGGAAGTTATTCGGAATGTAGTGACAGGAGCATAATTTAGGTTTACCACCCCCTTCAATCTCTGTCATTTCTCCCCTCCCCCCACCCACCCACTTCCGCTCCCTCCCCCCTCCCCACTTCCCCCTGTTTCTCCCCGTGTTCTGGAATCCTTACAAACAGTTACGATATCCCCGCAAGCTGACTCGATAAGCGTACACCGAAACACGCTTCTATCGGGATCCAATTCCGTCCTCCTACCTGGCGCTGTTAGGGACTCGAAGCTAACTTCCACTAACTTCTCTGACTCTACAGATACAATAGTGCCTCGCAATGATGCCGTACGAAATGCATCGATATCGCACAAGCCGACCGTTCGTCCATCTCGCTTTCACATAGACAGCTTCGGTTTTCCCGGGCCTGTACCGTGGGACTGGATCCGGCCGTCGATTCGCGACCTGTACACAATGAACGGCCAGATTGCAGTGCAGCCGTTTTTCTTCAATACCGACGCTCCAGATTCCGGCGCGGTTCCACCCGTGTGGACAGACGAGGAAATCAACAGCATGCTCCAGGTGGCCCGTTCGCGAAACTTGTCATCCGGGCACCTTAGTGGTTACGAAGATTCGTCATCATTGTTTTTTTTCGAGGCGTTTGATCGCTATCCGATTAGAGGAAAAAGTGTACTCATTATCGGCAGTCAGACTCCTTGGGTGGAAGCGATCTGCATTGCCGCTGATGCAGGGTCGATCACGACCGTTGATTTCAACCCTCCGGTGGCGTCACACCCTAGGATCAAGTCAATCTCGATCGAGCAATTAGATGCGATGGATGACGTGTTTGACGTGATTGTTTCGTTTTCATCAATCGAGCATGACGGATTGGGGAGATACGGCGATCCCATGAATCCCACGGGCGACCTACAACGGATGAAAAAGGTGCGTGTATATATATGTGCTGCGGAGGTTGCAAGAATCTGGAGTTAGAGAACGGTTGAAATGTGTTGTCTGTAAGCTATTTTGTCAGTATACATTGTCCCTCTTCCTCCCTGGTAGTTGCTGTGGGTGTACTGCATCAGAGAAGGTTTCTGTCAGGTGTGTCAAGTCAGGTGCATGTCTGTGTGTCTTTCAGTAGGTAGTTGCTGCAGGTGTACTGCATGATAGAAGGTTTCTGTGAGGTGTGTCAGGTCAGTTGCCTGCCTGTGTGTCGTCTGGTTGTAATTTCCCTTTTTTACCTTTCTCATAACCCATTTCTGCATCTCACCTTTCCCTCTCACTTTCTGCCCTGCTTCCAGATCCAGGGCCTGGTTAAACCAGAAGGGCTTTTTTACTTGGGCGTGCCTGTGGGAAATGACACAATTGCTTTTAACGCTCACAGAGTGTACGGTCCACTGCGCATGCCAAAGCTTATAGAAGGCTGGAAGCATCTGGACACGATTGGGGGAAAGCTGGAAGACTTCTACATGCAGTATCAGAATGGTATCTTTGTACAGCCAATCCTCATTTTACACTATTTGCCTTAAAAAGCTTGGGGAGTGTCAGTGTGATCTTCCTGGCTGCTGAATTAAAAACTTCCTGTATGGCCATCAGCTGAGCAGGTCGTTAGCAGCACTACATCGTGAGAAGTGTGTTACCTGCTGATATGGAAGACCTCCAATCCAGCACATGCACAAATCCTTAACAACATCACCTATTGTGGACCTGAGCATCTACCCCTTCCAACATTCCAGCAAGGCGGCACTGTCTAAAGGCTGAAGTATTGGATGGATTGGGGGCAGCTTGCCCAGCCGGAGTGTATTCATCAAGGGTGAAATATACATTCACATAATTCCATTCACTTCTTGCCGAATGGGCAAAAAGAAATAACACTGCAAATCTAATCTCCAGGACAGGGCAACTTCTAGAAGATGCCTGGAACCACCTTGTAAGGTACCAGCTTGCAGTACTTGTCCCAGAACTTGCCATACCTGAAAACATGTGGGTAGGTAGGGTGGAGTAAATGGGTGGAGGGTGGAGAAAATGGGTGTGAATGTAAGAAACAACAGAACAAGCAAGTGAGGCAGTGCAGAAGAGACATTATTGCACCAGCAGAAATGTGGTATTTTCATTTCACCCATCAAACAGCGGAATTTGCTGCGTCTCACAACACAAGGGCAGAAGTCCCACGCCCCACCAACTGGGAAACTCACGTCCCACAACACTGCAGAACTCATCTGTTTCACAATAAAATGGCAAATTCACATGTCTCACATATAGATGGGAATCTCACACGTCTCACATCTTAGCACCAACAAAACTCACTTCTTTTTGCAGCGCACGTCATCACGGACAGCTCGGTCAAATAGGAGGATTGTGAGGTAGATGCAGTAGAAATACTGAATGCCCTGTTATAGTGCAGCACAGGGAAGGAAAGGCGACAGATGATTGCTATCAAAGGAGATGGGGGACTGAAATGCAAGAAGGTAATGAAAACATGCGAAACAGCAGGATCAGTTAGCTTGCTTGTGACTATCCCCTTTATAGAACAAAGTGCAAGGTACAATGTGTGTAGAAGCGCCTTACATTGTTGAAGAGAGCTGGGAACGTCCAGAAGAAGGAAGCCAGGATTTCTGGCACGTAGTGGAAGTGGCGAGAGAGTCCCCACCTGCAGCACGCACAGCAGCAAAGGCGATCACCATACACAGCAGCAGCAGCAACGGTTACAGAGGGTTGGTGGGGGAAGTGCGGGAAACGAGGTCATGTTAGCAGGAAGACTAGTGCTCACGCAACCATTAGAAGAGAGTGGATATGTGGAGCAAAATCTCAGGCTGAAAGAAGAGTGGACAATGATGGACAAGTAGCAAGGGTCGTACCATCCTGAAGCAAGCAGCAAGCTCTTCTTGTTCTCGCCCTTCTCTGTCACATACTCTGCTTCAATCTGCACAAACATATGAGCAGCGCAACGATATAGATAAAAATTCGTTTCAGAAAGTCCCAGTGCATGATCTTCTTGTTTTGACGTTCGTTGTTTCCTTCCTTTCTGCAGCTCAATACGGACAAACAACATATTGGCAGCAAAATGTGCACCTTGGCAGGAGGGCGGCCCCAGATGGTGCAGCGGCCGTGTGTGGATCTAAAGTGCTGCCGTTGGCGATCCGAGTCGTAGTTGATTGCAATGCAAGCACAGCCACTCAGAAACATGGCCAGAGCGACCTGCGGCGGGGAAGGAAGGGGCGAGAGAGGAGTGCATATTGATGCCTCTGGGTTGAGCGAGCGAGAACTTTTGAATAGAAACCACACATAGAAGCAAGGAGGGCAGAGTATATAAAAACTCAGGGGAACGCGTAGAGAACGGTAAGCTAAAGGGGGGGGGAAGCAACGAGGCACCGGGAAAGACAGGCAGGCAGTCACAGGGAGAGGCAGGCAGGCAGGAACGGGGTGAGGCAGGCAGGCAGGCAGGCACGCAGGGGAATCTGGTACTCACGGGAGTGCCAAGTTGCAGGGGATGGTTGACGAGGTAGAGGGCGGGCGAGGTGTAGATGCAGGGCACCCACACCATGCAGCCCCAACAGAGGTAGTAGCCGGCTGGTGGGAGCAGGAGGAGGGTCAGGGTTGAGAGAAAGCACAGGGAGGAAGGAAGTGGAAGAAACGGGGAGCGTAGGGAGGGGGAGGAGAGGGGAGGGGCGGGGGGGAAACGGGAAGGTGGATGAGGACCAAGGGAACAAAACAGGGTTCAGGCACAATGGGCTGATGTCTCCCGAAGCAAGATTTGGCGAGCCACTCTAAGGAGTGGAGAGGGCCCACACCCGTAGTTCCGACAGAAGTGACAGGCAAAAACTGCTGCCTGATCAGAACAGAAAAAAGGCTCACCTCGGTCGTGCTGGATGTCCATGGTGCTCCAGTACCCTGACTCCCAGTAGAAGAACTTGGAGATGTAAACCAGCATGAGCGCCACGCTAACAACCATGGAATCCGCTACTCGCCCATTCGCCTCCACCTGCTTGATGGCGTACGTGACGGCCAGCAGCGCCCATGACATCATGCCAAAGCGGCAGTTGGTGAAGGTCTTGATGTCAAAGTACTTGCCGATGCGCGGGTACAGCTCCATGCCCTGCGAATTAGTGTGGAATACAGAAAGGGAAGCACGACACCATAGCATGGAAATTATTTGCAGAGAGGTTGGGCACACAGGAAGGGGGACGCTTGATGGTGAAAGTCGTTATGTGGAATTGCTTGCCACTGCGTGACGTCACGGATTGACAAAGACAAGCGACAGGAAGACGAGAGGGGAGGCTCACCCAGAAGAAGTCCTGGATGAAATTCCCGGAAGATCCCCAGTCAGAGGATGATGGAGCAAGGTGACCCTGCGCAAGCCAGGCTCAGAACAGGGAGTGTTTATTGATTTCGCACCAGGACTTTGCTCGGCCGATTCGAACAGACGCGACAGAAATAACGAAGCACGGATTGGCTTAGCATGGGATGGAGAGAGCATACCTTGGCGTAGAGGAAGAGGCAGAGAAGTAGGCTGGCGACGTTGAGGGCAGAGAGGATGCTGCCAAAGTTATCGTACACGAGGGATGGGTTGAACCACCCGGCTCTGGTGAGAGGGAGGGAGGGGATTTGATGAGCTTCACCAGTCAATTCGTGCAGGGAGATCAATGTTTGGAGCCTTTCACGGACTGGTTAGTTTGTGAAAATTGTGAAGAGTATGCTTCATGGGCGATCCTCATGGGATTGCGACAATTCTAAAAACAATGAATTCGACGACACGCGGCATGGTATGATTTGTAAACCATGAGGGAGGTGGTGGGTCCAGCAAGCAGGCGTGAAGCAGGCTATACCTCCAGATGAAGATGTATGTAACAATGGAGACCAGGTATGCTTGGAATCCGTTACACTGCAGGGCATATGAGGATTGGGAAAGTGTTCGTTTAAGGAGACGGAAGTCTCTCGCATTGGAGTGCATCCAGGAAATATACGCGATTCTCATGAAAATTGCAAGAATTCGAAGAGGGAGGCGGGTGTTTCCGAAACGGCGGTAGCGGCTAGCGGATTCGCAGAATTGGAACATAGGGAGAGCGGGAGGGCGGTATTTTGTTCATCGCATTAAATCTTACCCAATAGATAGGTCGGTTTCCAGCTGGTGAAACGGGTCCAACAAATTCCTTTCCAGGCAAGAGAACCTGCCGACGCGAGGGAATGACAAGCACTTAGATACATCCCTTTAAGGTGATCTTATCTGATCAGGAAACCGCAATTTCAGAATGTTCATTTACTTTTGACAGTGGCTACCCAACAACGCACCTGAAGAATTGCTTCAAAAGCTGCAAATGCGCCAATGATCTTCCATGCAATGGGGGAAAACGGCGACGGCCAGGCCTCCAGGAGTCCATCCATCACAGATTCCTTGCTTTGCAAAAATTGCCAGAATTTTAGAATTGACCCGTCCGTTTTGGCCATAATGAACCACCTGCACCTCAAAACGAGTAACATTTAGCAAGTGAGTAAGATAATTTGTTATTAGTACTGATCGACTTCATTATTAGACGTGCCTCTGGCACTCCTGTGTGGGATTTTCTTAGTACACGTTATCTTACATGTAGATTGCGATCGGAGGAGTCAGCACGAGCATGGCCATCATGCTAATTAGGGTCATGGCCTTCCCATGGACGTGCTCTGCCTTGGAATAAGCTGATGGTAGATGCTTCAGTGGTCGATGTGACTTCAACGACTTCTCAAGATGCGCGACCTTCAAAAGGTTTTCCGTAAGATCCGGATCCAGCAACAGCTTCGAGACGCGAGACGCAATCATGGTAATCGGCATTGTACACGCCTCAACGCCACCGAAGGAAAGAATAATGAGGTAAACAAAGCAAAAAAGTAATAGCGTTTCTCAAAAGGACTTAGCAACCCAATCTAGAGATCAACAGGCTAAATTGAACTCCGCGCACTCTCTGCTGCTGTGCTTCTAGTCGCTCATGATCTCCACATTCTAGTCTGATTTGAAGGACAAGGCTGGAGTGGTGAATTTGGACTGAGCATGAATCGGGAGACTGAAGCTGAATCCAACCTTCCCCTCCCCTCTGGCTGACTGAGGCCAGCCTAGCCTGATCAGTTTGGTTTGGTCAGGAAGTGCGAGTTCAAAGCCGTCGATCTACATTATCGGCTGGGGATTAGCGATCCAGCCAAACGAACCGCTTGTCATGGTCATTCACTTCACTCCCATCCCGTCGGCTTGAATTGATCGTAGATCGACAGTGTTGTGTGTACAGTACTGCCCTCTGAAAATATCACCACCCACTCGGCCGACATAGAAAATCTTGACCGTCGATCTTTGAATGACCTTGAGCATGCCAGGTGTCACAAATACCACAAGTGCCAACTCAGAGATCTATCGCTTCTCAACCAATTGACCCTCTCAGAGAGTAGGCGATTGGAACACGTGGACCTCGAACTCCTCTTTTGAAGCATGCAGTTTGTGTGCCCACATGGTGGTCAGCTGGAAGAAATGTTCCAAGCTGTGGGAGGTTGATTCCTGCCGTGCGGTGCGGATGGGGACCACAACTTCAGGTTCACAGAAAGCAGCCACGACACGGATATGGCCCCAGTCAACTGTTGTCAGGCTTGGGGTGAGAGACGAAGCGTGAAACCAGTCTAGGTGAGAAGTTCAGCCAACTGCCAGACAACGATAGGTGATGAGCATCACCAAACAAATTTGACGAGGTTCACCTGCCCGCAGACCGTGGAACAGGTTGCAGTCGAGGAAAGAAATAGACCAATCAAAGCGTGCGACTCGAAAATTCCAGCATAGCGTTGATTGGAGGTGTCAGTCAGTTGGTCCTCACTTTTCACGTGGAGGAAACAGCAAGCATCCTCAACAAGGCACAAATCGCCATAAGTCGACTTCAATGTCTACCTCTTTCTTCTTATGAAATTTGTACATGGCTGGAAGATTGTACCTAACCTGCACAAGGGTTTCACAGTAACATAACATATCGCAATCTTCAAGATCAATCCAGCCTCAGAAACTTGCAAAAATCCTCGAGTTTTCGAACCGAATAAAGCACGTACCTGATACAACACTTCAGCACTCTTTGCGCCAAAATCTCTTAGCGCTGCGCGTTGTACATGCTGGTGCACACACCCAAAAAAGAAAAAGCAATTGCACAGCTTAGTACAGCAAATTGCAGACGGTACCTGCTTAGGCAGGAGCTGGAAGAACAACCAGCAAGAATGCCATGCTGCGCTGAACGGAAACATTCAAGGATAACAACAACAACAAAACCCTAGGCTAGGCAGAGTAAATGGGTGAAGGTATTGAATAAGAGACAGGGGCAAAATGGGGGTATATGAGGAGGTTGACAGAAGGCTAGGAGGAGAGAAGTGAGAAACACCAAGAGAGAGAGAGTGGATTCTATGCAGATAAATTTAACAGGAAAAAGAAAGGGGGGACCGGAGGGGGAAATGTGCACCTCTCGAGTAGATGATTTGTGGAGTGAGTAAACGGCTACTGATGCAGCCTGAAGGGGACCGAGAGGGTGAGGGCCACAAGCGGACGATGGAGACAAAACGGAGAGGGAGGCAAGAGGGGGGAACACAAGGGGAGGAGGGCACAATAGGACGAGGGAGTCAAGTGGAGAGAGAGACAAGAGGGGCAGGACACAAGAAGACGAAGGACACACGAGGGTAAGGGGCACAAGAGAAGGGACAACAACAGGAGAATACAATCAAAAACTTAAGAGGGGAAGGAGCATGGAAAAAAGTGAGAGGAAGCACATGGAGGGAAGCACAGGGCTGCTGATTCTTGACTTTAAGCTGTGCATGGAAAGGCAGTCACCATACCATGCTACCCATCCTGAGCCGATGCTCATAATCCATGCAAAATTAATTTGAAAAAACGCACCTTATTGAATTGTCCTCATTATACATATATATTTATATATACATTTTTTTTTTCTGTTTACGGCACCATGCCTCACCTTGAGCCCTGCTGCTAAGAAGAGCATGTCAGCACCCTTGGTTCTCGTGCCAAAGGGCGGATTCATCACCACCACCTCAACTGAGCCACCTGCAGGGAAAGAAGAGCAGGAGTCAACTTATGAGGCAGCTAAAGGATGAAGCTTTTCGTGGTGAAGGGAAAGTTTATCACCCCGACCTCAGCTAAGTGACCTGCTCGGAACAAAAGCAGAAGCCTATTTGTGAAGGGCCTAACAGAAAATCTCGTGCCAAAGGGCGGGTTCATGACTAACCACCACCTCAACTGAGCCGCGTGCAGGGAGCAAGCAAACACATAAGTCAACTTATGAGGCACCTAACAGAAGAAGCTTCAGGTGACATGCGACGACAACTGAAGTGCCTCATAATCGTGTTGAGCAAAAAGGGAGGGTTCATGCACAGAGCACGGGGAAGTCTAACCCTCAGGGCGGTGAGGAACAAGGACGAACAGGGGGAAGACTTTTGAGTCGACTCAAAAGTCAAAAGGGAGGGTTCATGCACAGAGCACGAGGAAGTCTAACCCTCAGGGCGGTGAGGAACAAGGACAAACAGGGGGAAGAGGAGGGAGGCAGAGGAGGGAGGGAGGCAGAGGCTTAACTAGTGAGAGACAAGTGGGGAAGTTTTGCCTGAATGAAGTCCATGTCAATCTGCGCATACACAGAGACACACACAAACATACACGATAGCATCAGTTCGGGAAGAGTACAATACACACTCTCACCTGATTAAAACAACAAAACATAACATGTCGTAACATAAACGATAGATGATATGACAAAACAAAACGCTATTTAGCACTAAATAATTAACAGAACATGTATGAAGAAAACAGATATAACACAACTGGCCCTAGGCTCCTGTGTCTCCCAGGCACTTAATTACTATAAGCTCCGTTGGCTTGTGCTGCGGCACCTCTGGGTTACCACACATGCCCTTACAATCCTACGTTACATTCTTCCAGTAACTTTACTTCAAATACAATTCGTTTTATGTGTATATATATACTTTTAGGCGTCTAGAAAACAGCTACATTCTTATGAGGAGATTTTTCTTTTTCCTTTTTTAATAGTCAAAACGCACAAGAAATCATTACAGTTTTACACAGAGTGAAGTCAAACGACGCACCTCATACTCTTGACAGTTGGCCTGTGCTGTGGCAATGGCTGAGTCATCCGCGTCCACTCCCACCACATACCTGCATGCATGCATGCAGAAACATGCAAATGCATGCATGCACACACACACATATGCACACAATCACGTGAATGGGAACATCATGGATGCATGAATGGAGGGGCAGCTTGATGCAAGCACATGAATGAATCAAGCACAGGCACATAATGAATAGGTTGCTAGTGCCGCACCACAGCCATGGTCAAGACCCATTGCGCCCCTCAGTGGTGGTGCTCCCTTTGTTGGTGCTTGAATGCAGCGGCTCACAGTGCCTTGGTTTTATTCGCTCCTCACTCTGCTCCCTTGCTGGTGCCTAGAGGGTTTGGTGCGGTTCTAAGCGGTTAAACTCACTCTGCTCCCAGCATTGCTGCGGCAATCCCTAGGGTGCCGCACCCACAGCCGAGGTCAAGCACTGTACGCCCCTCCACATCATCAAAGCGCGTGTGGATCTGAACGAAGGGTTGAGAAGAAGGTGGGAGATTCTTGTTAGGTACCACTGCCATACACTGTGCACACATCCCCACACCGCCTGCAGCCGAGGTCAAGCACTGTACGCCCCTCCACATCATCAAAGCACGTGTGGATCTGAACGAAGGGTTGAGAAGAAGGTGTGAGATTCTTGTTAGGTACCACTGCACGTTGACTTTTGAGTCGGCTCAAAAGGTGGGAGATACTTGTTAGGTACCACTGCACGTTGACTTTTGAGTCGACTCAAAAGGTGGGAGGTACTTGTTATGTACTACTGCACACATCCCCACACCGCCCGCAGCCGAGGTCGAGCACTGTGCGCCCAACATCGCCATGTCGTCAAAGCGACTGTGGATCTGCAAGCACGGAGAAGAGAAGAGACAAATTGCGTGTGTGAGGCACCCTAGTGTGTGAATTGTCGTGTGAGGGACATATCCTGTGTGATATATACACACACGACGTCTGAGAGAGAGACACATTGCATGAGAAGAATATGCTTAAAGAAGCGTCACATAGTGTGGGTTGAACCGATTTCGATTCAGATGTGACAGGCTGTGGAAGGCTGACACCTTATAGAGCATTCGTGAGGCGATGTGAGGGCCCGTGGGGTACTGAAGTGGTTTTTGGGTCGACTCAAACTTCTCCTGCCCTTAGTACCCAACATGACACACCGTGATGGCATGTGGAGAGAGTGGGTTGCAACTATCACCTCATAGAGCATGCGAGAGGCTATGTGAGGCCCCGTGGGGTACTGCTCCAACTCAATCTGATGGAGGGGGGTGGAGAGCGGTGGAGGGGGGTGGAGAGCAGTGGAGGGGGATGGAGAGGGATGGAGGGGGTTGGAGGGGGGTGGAGGTGGAAGAAAGGGTTGTGTAGTGGAGGGATGTGCGAGGCTGTGGGTAGAGGCGTGGGTGAAATGAACAATGCATTGCATTGTTAGAGGAGAGCAAGGCAAGACGACAAGTTTTTTGAGCCGCCTCAAGAATGGCACGGATCGCAGAATGTCCGTGGAAACCAGGTCCTGGTGAACCGAGCATTGCATTGTAAGAGGAGAGAAAGAGGAGATGAAAGGCAGACACGAGGGAAGGAAAACCCTGGTTTCCACGGACATTCCGCCATCCGTGCAGGATAACAATGAAAACTTGAACAAGCTGTTCTAAATCGCCGTAAATAGCTTATGCGACATCGCGAAAACAGTCGAACGCAACAGAGGGTCGGACGGGATCGGCGGCTCAAACCTTTCGTGCCTTTCCGAAAAGGCCTACCTTGGGATTGTCGAACTGTTGCACATCTCCAAGGAGCGACTCGAGCTGCTTCAGCTTCATCTGCCAAGGACGAATACCAGTCTATATTGGAGACCTATGATTCTGTATCATGCATGTACTACTATGGAACGCGAAAGGACTACAATAGTGGTCTCCTGCACCCGAGCCGCGTGATTTCACTGAAAACTGACTGACAGAGGCAGCACATTCTGGTGAAGGATACGCGATACAGGTTAATATGCCGCATTTAGTATGGATGAGCGCAAGCATTGTAAGGCCTATAATAATTGATGAGAGATTTATGATTGAATCTAGAACATTGAGAAATTGATTATCTGTACATTGAAATGATTTTGTTGACACCAAGCTTTCTAGACACTTCGCCATAGGTACTTGTATCTCAGGAAATCCTCATCACACGTTTGGGACTGATAGCCTATCAGCCCCGGCCACGATACGAGCTGATTGAATCACATCGCCAGTACGAAGCTGTGCCAAAACATCCCTACCCTTCGTCACATACCTGCACACCACCAAGCACAACATTTTTTTTTAAATCTTATGATGGAAATAGGCTAACGAGGGGATTCTGGCAACAGGTTGACAGAGAGTGATTAGCTTACCCGAAAACTGAGAATTGGCCCTCGTCAAAGGCAAGTCCACCCAACCCAGACTGCATTACACAATAGAAAAAACCAGGTGAATGGGAGGAGCGGATTAAAAAGGCGCACCAAATAGTTGGCACCATTTGCTAAGAGGGGAAGACGCAATCACAGCAGACATTAGAACCTACCCGTCTATTGTCGTATTTGTAGAGGGAGAAATGTGAGGGATAACCGAAGGAGTCACCTTTAGGCGATACAACTGTTGAGTTGACGCACCTACCCATCCATTGTCGATTTCTGATAAATGGAATAATGAAGAAACTCTTACCCGTCTCTTGTCGTATTTGTAGAGGAAGAACTGCGAGGGATGGCTGAAGGAGTCGCTCTCTGGAGAGTGGGCCATGACCATTGCCCCGAACACTGACATGGGCAGCACTGGGAGCTCACCGTCCTGTAGGGGAGAGGAGAGGAGGCAGAGCAGGGGTGTGAGGAACACGGAGGAGGGAAGCATGCACGTGAGAATGGGCCATGAGCAGTGCTCCTTACACTGGCATGGGCAGCACTGGAAACTCCCCATCCTGTAAAGGACAGATCAGGGATGGCCATGAGAAGGAAAGGGAGGAGCTTGGACAGAAAAGGGATTTGCTTTTAGGAGAGTGGGCCACGACCAGAGCTCCAAACACTGCCATGGGCAGCACTGGGAGCTCCCCGTCCTGTAGGGGAGAGGGGAGGGCAAGAGGGTAAGGGGTGGTTATAAGGAGGAAAGAGGTCACAGAAAGAAAGGATTCGCTGCCTGGAGTGGAGAGTGGGCCACGACCAGTGCCTCGAGCAATGCCATGGGCAGCACTGGGAGCTCCGTCCTGTAGGGGAGAGGAAAGGTCAGGAGCATCTCAGGAGCATCTCAGAAGCATCGCAAAAGCATCTAATAAGCATCTCAGAAGCATCTCCCTCCATACCGGCATGTCCAGCGGTGTGCAGTAGATGGGTTGGAACTCCCCAGCTGGCATGATCTCAAGGGGCACGTCCCTCAAGCAGCGCCTCCCTCAACCTCAAGAGACACCTGCACCTCCCTACCCGCACACCTGGTGCAGCAAGCGCCCACCCCCCCCCCCTCCCCCCCTCTCCCCTCTCCCCTCCCTACCTGCACGTCCAGCGGTGTGCGGTAGATGGGCTGGAACTCGCCAGCTGGCATGATCTCAAGAGGCACGTCCCGGCCAGCAGAGGGATCTCGAGCGTCGGATAGGACGGCGAGGTCAGTGGCTTTCACTGCCACTCCGTCATATGCGCGGCGGGATACCTGTTGTTGAGGAAGGAGGGAACCGGGAATGCGGTTGCAGAAAAGGAAAAAAACAAAAGAAAAAACGCTTGAGCTGCGAGCGGAGGGATCTCGAGCATTGGATAGCACGGCGAGGCCCGTCGCTTTCACTGCGACTCAATCATATGCCCGGTGGGAGATCTGGCAAGTCAGGAAGATATGGTGGGAGTTGGATCTGGGGTATGACTGGCAGATAGCATGGCAAGGTCCGTTGCTCTTACTGCCAGTCTGTCGTATGCCCGGCGCCTCACCTGGCGAGTACAGAATGAGCTGGGCTGCGGAAGGACAGAACTAACTGTCCAGCAGCACTCACGCCCTAACTTACTTCTCGCACTTCCCTCACTCCCTCGCACCATTCCTTCCCTCACCCCCTCACTTCCCCCACTCCCTCGCTTTCCTCACCAGCTGAGCAAAGTTTCCGGCTGTGAGAGGAGCAGAGTAACCGTCCAGAACCACCTGTTGGAGAAATGACGAATGGGAAGGGATTGGAAAGATAAGGGAAAGTGACGAAGAAAATGGGAAGGGAAGGGGATGTGAAGGGAATGGGAAGGGAGAGGGAAGGGAATGGGAAGGGATTGAAATGGAATGGGAATGAGATGGGAGGGAATGAGATGGGAATGGAATGGGAATGAGATGGGAAATGGAATGGGAATGAGATGGGTTTGGAATGGGAATGAGATGGGAAATGGAATGGGAATGAGATGGGAATGGAATGGGAATGGAAGGAAAAGAAACTGGAAGAAAACTCGACGGGAGTAAAGAGATAACGAGAGAGAAGCGGATGGAAGGAAAAGCAAGGGAAGGGAACCGGGAAAGGAGTTTGTTTAAGACCTCCTGCATCACGGCTGTGAGGGCAGACGTGGATTCTTCATCAAGGGACTCGATTGCATGCACGCCCTGATCAAACCGCACCTAACCCATCCCATCCCATGCAAGTGAATCAAACCCACCTGCAGCACGCCTGTGAGAGCAGAGGTGGCTCCGTTATCAAGGGAGAAGTAGGAACCATCCGCCTTTAACACAGCAAACTCCACTGTTGCCCGGCCTGTTAGCCTGGGGGTTGGAAAAAGAGGGGATGGAGGAGGGAGGAAGGTGAACAAGGGAGGACGGGGAGAGAGGGAGAAGTCAGAGCCATCCGCCCTGAGCACTGCGAATTCCACTGTTGCCCGGCCTGTTAGGCTGGGGAGTGTGAAGGGAGGAGATGGTACGGAGGTAGAGAAGGGGAAGAGGACGAAATGGGAGATTGAGAGACGAAAGAGGCGAGGGGAAAAAGGTGCATTGTCAAACTGCAAGAGCAATAACGTGACCTGCACAAGGATACCGATAGATTTGGTGGGCGGGGATGAGAGACTGGAGGCCCGTGGCGTGACTTGCAGCAGAGAGAGATTGGGGCTGGGTGGGTGGGCCTGCTTCAGCTATAAGCAGTCGGTTGTTCAGTGGCACACACACATAAGCTTACACACACCCACCGCGGGAGGCTGGCGTATTGGTTGGGGATGAGGAACTGGAGACCAGTTGCTTGCAGCAGGGAGAGGTTGGTACGGGGAGTTTACCTTCACTAGTTGTTCAGTGACAAAGAACACACACACATACGCTCACACCTACCGTGGGAGGCTGGCGTATTGGTTGGGGATGAGGAACTGGAGGCCTGTGGCTTGCAGCAGCGAGAGATTAGCCACGTCGTTGAGGGAGGAGGCGAGGCGGATGGAGACACGGTCCGGGTCCTTGTCCTCTATCGCTGCTAGGAGGCCGGGGAAGCCGCTCTGAAGAGAGGGAAGTGTGAGGGAGAAACAAGGCAAAGATGAAACGGGAGAGCAATGAGGCCAGGCGGATAAGCACGAGGTCGGGGTCCTTGTCCTCTATGGCTGCTAGGAGGCCGGGGAAACCGCTCTGAAGAGAGGGAAGTGTGAGGGAGAAACAAGGCAGAGATGAAACGGGAGAGCAATGAGGCGGGGCGGATAAGCACGAGGTCGGGGTCCTTGTCCTCTCTGGCTGCTAGGTGGCCGGGGAAACCGCTCTGATGAAAAGGAAGGTGGGGAGGGCAAAGAGGAAGGAAGGAGGCAAAGCAGGAAAGAGAGCAATGAGGCCAGGCAGATGGACATGCGGTCAGGGTCCTCGTCCTCTATCATTGCTAGGAGGCCGGGGAAGCCACTCCGATGAAAACGAGGGTGGAAGAGAGCAAGAAGGATGAAAGAAGGAAAGCACGGATCCGCACGACAACGCACCGCACAGCACAGCCAATGACGCGACGTCTGTGACAAAACACCAACTCACACATCTTGGATTCGATCAGATCCTTGAAGATGGCTACCGCAGCACATAACACGACATACCGCACAGCACCGTAACGCACCACACCACACCACACACCTTGGAATTGACAAGGTCGTTGTAAATGGCTGCTGCCCTCTCCCTGTCGGGAGCAGGCACAGCACAGCACCACACACCACCGAACAACACTGCATAGCATTACAACGCACAGCACCGCACAGCACCACACAACACACCTTGGAATTGACAAGGTCGTTGTAAATGGCTGCTGCCCTCTCCCTGTCGGCAGCAGGCACAGCTTCTAGAATCGCTGCTTGATTGGCCTCAGCCAACTGCAAGGGGGGAGGAGGGAATGTACAGAGGAGAACAAGGGAGGGAAGAAAAAAGGAGAGAGGGGGGAAAAGGGGAGGGATAAACGATGGGAAGGAAAAGGGATGAGGGATGCAGTAGCGAGAGGAGTTGGAGAGAAGGGAAGTGAGGAGGCAGGCGAGGAGAGAGGTGGCTGCAGAGGGTGGGGAGAATGGTGAAAGGGTTGCAAAATGGTGAGATGGGCGAGAGAAAGAATGGTGCATGTGGCTGCCGCATGGGAGTGGAGATTGCATCAGGGCATAGCGTGCGACGTGGGGAATTCTCGTCATGGCATTGGTCTGTGGTGATATTTGACATGGTGTGGAATACAACGTGCATGCATCAATCTTCCCTCGCACACACCTTGACTGCCTTATTCACGTTGGCTGCCATTGTCTTGTACGGCTTCTTCTGTGGGATGCGCATGAGCGTTGTGATCTCCTCCAGCTCATCCTGATTGGCGTAGGGGGGAGGCGGAAGAGGGGAGGGAAGGGGAGGAGAGGGGAGGGGAGGGGAGGGAAGGGGAGAAGGAAAAGCACAGGATGGGATGGCCTGCCTGCATTGTCTTGTAAAAAAGGAGTGTTTTGAGACGTCTCAAAGCATTTTCTGTGAGTTGCGCATGAGCGTTGTGATCTTCTCCAATCATCCTGATTGGCGTTGGTTGGGGGGGGGTGGTAAGGGGGGTAGTGAGGGAATGGATGAAGGGGATGGGAGAAAGAGAAGAGCAGAATGGGTTGGCCTGCTTGTATTGTCTTGTAAGGCTTCATATTATATGGAGGAACTTCTGAACCTGGTTTGAGTAGACTCAAAACACTTCTTACCCTGATTTGTTATGTAGGCTGCTTATCCCCACAAGAACAAAAATATCATCTGGCCTTACTTGGATCTTCCTGACTGCCTCGTTGACAACTGGCACGGCGCGGCGGAGCGCCACGTCAGCATTGCGCGGGACCTTGGTGTCCGGGGAGAGCAGGATGGCTTCCGCGGGTGGCGGCTGCGCCAGTATGGGAACGAACGCGGCGGACACTGGCGCAAGCACCTGATATTTTGGAGGATGGGGGATGCGTGAGGAAAAGGGGGAATACCCGCGGGAGTGGGGTAATGGACAGGCGAATCAGGGGATGCAGGCGTGGAGTGGGGGAATGGACGATGAATGGGGGAGTGCACGAAGCGCGATTTGGGTGTGATTGTCTCGCGCAGATTTGCACAATTGAATACATTGTCAAGGTTTAACGCTTATTGACTTCTGCCAACTCGACTGAAATCCGTCATACGCGTCACGACCTGCAGCGCATTACAGTCGTGTTTCTTTAGTGAAGGATACTACAGTGCGTGTTAATCTATTGTGTGCTACTCTGTTACAGAGTGTTTAACCAAATGACTCACCTGAATAGCAGCTAGCACGGCGGCGACGGCTTTGCCTGCCACCGTTGTTGCCACGCGAGAAGCATCGGACGGCTCGGCGGATGGGGAAGGCTGTGCATTGAAAAAAGACGATAACGAAAGAAAACGAAAAACAGCTGAAAATGCGAAGGCGTTCGCTCGCAAAATTGATGTCGAGATCTCCCTTAGGGAAGAGACGCTCGCTCCAGGGCTACAGATGAACTTGAAGGCAGCTGCCTGGCATGGGAAATAAGGAATGCATTGGTCTTGGGACCTTATCAACACAACACTACCCTCAAGAGATGGCCTGACCAGCACCGATAATGACAATGCGTTGATGAAGTTTGTACCCTTTTGCGAGCTCAAGCCCGCAAGGAAAAATGCCTCCTAAATCATTGATCAATGGAGCACCATTCCGCTAGCCATGGCCCGCAATGACCACAATAAGGCATTGATTAGGCAAGACCTCTTTGCGGTTCTGATATGCGAGGATAATGATTCGTAAAAGATTGATTTAAAAAGTACCTTATCGCCAGCTCTGGCCTGCACTGGCTGGCGAGCAACATTTACGCCATGACGACCGCGCTGCTTCCGCAGCGAGGCCACGTCGAACGCGCTGGTTCTTGCGGCCGCGCTGCTTAGCGCGACTGGCAACTGCTGTGCTCCGGCGGTTTCTCCCCTCCGCGAGAGCGCGAGGCTTGCGGAAAGGCTGGGAGCGGAGCAGAGAGCTGCGGTCGCCATGGTTGTGGGGGAAAGCTAATCACGTTTGGCGGAGAAACTAAAATTACAACGTGCACTCGTCAATCTCAAGGTGTAGTTTCTAGGTCGGAACTGTCCAGTAGGAACTGCCCGTGAGGCTATTCGGCATATACGAATTGCGAGGGTGTCGATTTCGCTTCAAAAGGCAGCGCAGTTCGGAACATTGTTCAGTACAGAGACTAAGCTCAGCTTGTGAGCATTATTGCAGCTCCGAAATAGAAACTGTCGCGCATTTCGTTGCAACCAGCTGAAAAGGATGGGCCCTGATCTCACCTGGGGTGAACTGAAACACGCCTTCCAAGACTTGCCTCGAGGAACCACAATCGTGGGCCAGTTTATCTATGCGATTGATGCTGCGTTCATCGAAACACGTTACCCTTCAATGACGAAACATTCCATCAAAACACCAGCGACGTAAACAGATCCTCTCACCTCGCTACGTTTCGCCACATGTGCAGGCATCGCTGGTTTGAGTGCCCTCTGACGACAGGGTGACGTCGGTTCAGAATCCTCCGCATCTGATCTGGATGCCTTGCTACGTGGCACCAAGGCAAGGTCCAGAAGCAGATTCACACAAAGCTAGAGTACAGTAGGTTTAGATACCTAAAACCTATATAATACAGAAGATCTACTACAAATTCACCAAATCCTAGTTCAAGTCTAGCTAGAGAATGATTCAAAGCAGAGACACAAAATGGTTAAACAGCTCAGCAACAGCAGGCTCACAGCCCGAACCTGGCCAAGGACCTGTAACCCTATCGAGCACATTCCAATCGACCTGTCCAGGCGACCCATGCACAGTCTCCATCCAATGCATTATCTCCAGGCTAAGCCGTGCCATCAACGGCACATCCACCAATCGCTGCTTCGCCAAATCCTCCCACGCTCGATCCGCCGCAATTTCCTGCTTCGACCGCGACAACGGAGAAATTGACTTGGAAGAAGAAGCCGCCTTGCGCGTGCCAGGAGATCGGCTTGAAACCGATGGGATGGGAGTTGGTGCAGATGACCCAGGTATTTGCACCGGGGATGAGATTTCCCCGCTTTTTCTACCTCCCTTGCTTTGGCCATCCACTCCTTCCGCTGCAGTGTTTTGACTTGCAGCAGACCCTGATTCTTTGGTCTCTTCTTCACTGCGATCCTCGGCATCCTTGTTAGAGGCTTCTCCAGTAGAGGTAGAAGCTTTCAGGAATGTATGGAGCCGATCCACGAAGGATGCAAAGAGCAGCATTGCCCGCAGAGCTGGTGGTGGTGGCGCCGGTGGTGGTTCTGACCCTCCCACTGCACTGCTGTCTGCTGCAGCGGCAGCACCAGCTGCAGCAGTATTCCTATCAACACCACCAGCAGCAGTTGTGCTAGGAATACCAGCAGCAGCAGCACCAGCCGCAGCACCACTACCACCAGCAGCAGAAGCAGAAGGAGCAGAAGCAGCCAGAGCAGGTCCGGCCAGAGAAGGGGGCAGCACGGCACACCCATCCAGACCCACCACATGTGCCCGTGCTGCTTCATGCACTGCCAGCAGCAGGAACAGGTGGCGCGATCGCTGCCACCTGTGCAGGGGCCACGTCAGCACAGTTGCCAGCATGGCATCGCACACACTGCCGCCCATCCCCCCTGCGACTGTTGCTGTTGAGAGTGAGGAGCGAGGGAGATGGAGGGAGGAGGCGGAGGGAGAGGAGGAGCGAGGGGAGGAGGTGGAGGCTGAAGGGGAGGAGGAGAGGAGGAGGGAGGACTGTAATGGAGAGGAGGCAAGAGGGGAGGATCGCAACGGGGAGGAGGAGAGAGGGGAGGATCTGGAAGGAGAGGAAGAGGAGGGGGGTGGTTGTCGTGAGGGAGAATCACAAGTCGAAGGTGATGAACAGGGGAAGATGGAGGAAAGAGAAGAGGGAAGCCTGGATTGTAACTGAGAGGCAAGGTCGAGCAGGGAAGATAGGGAGGAGTCGAGGGAGTGTCGCTGGGAAGAGGAGGCGGAGGAGGAGAGGTGCAGCAGCATGTGCAGCTGGAAGGGGAGGAAGCGCGCATTGCTCTCGCGCCCGCCCCCGTGGCAGTCAGTGCTGAAGCTGGCTGCGAGCACGAAGCGCGCGACGAGCGTGCGGAGGTCCCGGAGTAAGACGAGGAAGCGAGAGCCGTCCACGTGGCCGAGGTTTGCAACGCTCTCCCACCAGGAATCCAGCCCACGGGCGTACACTGCTGAGGATACCTGTTGGGGTGGGAACGCAGGGATGGGGAGGGAAGTGCGTGTAAGGAGGAGCACGAGGAAGCGAGAACCGTCCACGTGGCTCAGGGAGAGGACGCTTTCCCACCAGGAAACCAGCCCGCGGGCATACACTGCAGGGGAGACCTGTAAGGGTGAGTGGAAGAGAAAGGGAAGAGCATGTAAGGAGAAAGGAAGTGGGAGGCTTTTGACGTGGCAGAGGGAGGAAACGACCTCCCACCAGGCGTCCAGCCTGGGCATACACTACTGGGGAGGCCATCCTTTGAGGGAAGAATGGGCTTGCTTGGCCTTGGCTCTGTCAGGCAGTAGTGCTGCCAATATGTATTGTGTAGCACTCGCATTACTTTTTGGAGGGGAAGGTGCTACTAAAAAAGCGGCCTTACCTGAGGGCCCCGCAGGGGGAAGAGGGCATTGCAGGGGTGAGACTAGGCGAGCTGCAGCTTAGGAAAATAGCTTCCTCCGCTTAGCAGAAGAAGGACAGTAGAGTTAAACTCTTTGTTACCTGAGGGCCCCGCAGAGGGAAGAGGGCATTGCAGAGGGTTCCTCCGTTCCTGAGGGCTGCGCCGTCCCACTCGCGCTTGGGCAGCTTGAGGGCGGAATCGGCACGCTTGGCCCGGTCGTGGCAGGAGAAGTGGATGGTGTTGAAATGAGAGACCGTTGAGATAGACCAGTTCACGGCCACCCTGCTTGTCGTGGATGCTGTGAGGGGAAGAAAGAGAGTGGGAAGTGGGAGGAAAGGACAGAGGCAAGAGAACGGTGAAAAGAGGGACATGAGCAGCAGGAGAAGTGGATGGTGCTGAAGTGAGAGACTGTGGAGACAGACCAATGGACTGCCACCCTGCTTGCTGTGGATGCTGTTTTGGAAGAGGGGAAAGAGGGGGAGGCAGCACACAGAGACATGGGAAAACGCAGAAGAAGTGGATGGAGTTGAAAGGAGAAACGGTCAAGATAGACCAATCCACTGCCACCCTCTTGGTTGTGGAAGCTGCTTTGGAGAAGATGCGGGAGGGACAGGCGGCAAGGGGAGGGGAAGGCAGCACACAGGGAGCAATGGGGAAAGAGCAGGGGAAGTGGACAGTGTTGAAATTCCTACTTAGATCTTTCGTTAAAACACAAGAAATCAACAGAAAAATGACTCACTCAGGCTCATTGGAGTAGGTGTGTGTGAGCCTACTCCAGAGCCTGGAGTAGGCTCCAATGAGCTCGTTGGGACGCAGGCGGTGGCACACCATGTAGCGCGGAAAGCATATGAACCAAACAAACACGAAACAATCCTAAATTAAGCTCCAAGTGGAAAGTTCGGAGAAGAGTCTGGAGGTGTAAACCCTGATCTGATTCAGCTCGTTGTGACGAAGCCGGTACACCTCATGGCACACCAGGCAGCAGATCAGATCGGCGTTTTTACCACACAAACAAACAAGAGTACTTACTCAGGCTCCAAGTGGAGAGGTCGGAGAAGCGTCTGGAGAAGGTGTAGGCTCCAATTAGCTCGTTGGGACGCAGGCGGTAGCCCTCGTGGCACACCATGCAACGCAGCGCACGCATTGCAGGAGGCAGCGCGATGGGGCGGCGAAGCTGTAGATCTCGTGCATTGAAAGGGAAAGCAGATGAGAGCAGAGCAGAGGCACCTGCGTCGCTAGCCTCCTCCTCTTCTCCCTCCTCTCCCTCTTCTCCCTTCTCCTTTTCCTCCTCCACTACCTCCTCCTCTTCCTCAAGTTCATCCCCCGACCTGCCTGCACCTACAGTGGACGTGGGGCCTGCACTGGCTGCGCCTTCCCGAGATACTGACGGTTTTGCTGATGTCAGCACGATGCGGTGGCTCCCAGTAGGAGCCAGCTGGGATTTAACCCCCATGCTCTGGAACAACAGCAAAGAGGGTGGGGAGAGGGAATGCGAGTTGAAGTTTGAGACGTCACCCCGTGCTCAAAACGTGACACAGGTGCCAGCTGGGCCAAACACATTCCCTTTCAAAGGGAAGTCTCAAAACACTTCTTCATACACGTGGCTTCAACCCCCAAGCTCTGAGATTGCGGTGGCGAAAAAAGGAGGAGATGCATGTGGGAGACGAGGACGAAGAGGCGAGGGACGAAGAGGCGAGGGACGAAGAGGCGAGGGACGAAGAGGCGAGGGACGAAGAGGCGAGGGACGAAGAGGCGAGGGACGAAGAGGCGAGGGACGAAGAGGCGAGGGACGAAGAGGCGAGGGACGAAGAGGCGAGGGACGAAGAGGCGAGGGACGAAGAGGCGAGGGACGAAGAGGCGAGGGACGAAGAGGCGAGGGACGAAGAGGCGAGGGACGAAGAGGCGAGGGACGAAGAGGCGAGGGACGAAGAGGCGAGGGACGAAGAGGCGAGGGACGAAGAGGCGAGGGACGAAGAGGCGAGGGACGAAGAGGCGAGGGACGAAGAGGCGAGGGACGAAGAGGTGAGGGACGAAGAGGTGAGGGACGAAGAGGTGAGGGACGAAGAGGTGAGGGACGAGGTGAAGGACGAAGAGGCGAGGGACGAAGAGGCGAGGGACGAAGAGGCGAGGGACGAAGAGGCGAGGGACGAAGAGGCGAGGGACGAAGAGGCGAGGGACGAAGAGGCGAGGGACGAAGAGGCGAGGGACGAAGAGGCGAGGGACGAAGAGGCGAGGGACGAAGAGGCGAGGGACGAAGAGGCGAGGGACGAAGAGGCGAGGGACGAAGAGGCGAGGGACGAAGAGGCGAGGGACGAAGAGGCGAGGGACGAAGAGGCGAGGGACGAAGAGGCGAGGGACGAAGAGGCGAGGGACGAAGAGGCGAGGGACGAAGAGGTGAGGGACGAAGAGGTGAAGGACGAAGAGGTGAGGGACGAAGAGGTGAGGGACGAAGAGGTGAGGGACGAAGAGGTGAAGGACGAAGAGGTGAGGGACGAAGAGGTGAAGGACGAAGAGGTGAAGGACGAAGAGGCGAGGGACGAAGAGGTGAGGGACGAAGAGGTGAAGGACGAAGAGGTGAGGGACGAAGAGGTGAGGGACGAAGAGGTGAGGGACGAAGAGGTGAAGGACGAAGAGGTGAGGGACGAAGAGGTGAAGGACGAAGAGGCGAGGGACGAAGAGGTGAGGGACGAAGAGGTGAAGGACGAAGAGGTGAGGGACGAAGAGGTGAGGGACGAAGAGGTGAGGGACGAAGAGGTGAAGGACGAAGAGGTGAGGGACGAAGAGGTGAAGGACGAAGAGGTGAGGGACGAAGAGGTGAAGGACGAAGAGGTGAGGGACGAAGAGGTGAGGGACGAAGAGGTGAAGGACGAAGAGGTGAGGGACGAAGAGGTGAGGGACGAAGAGGTGAGGGACGAAGAGGTGAGGGACGAAGAGGTGAGGGACGAAGAGGCGAGGGAAATGTGAGTCGACTCAACAACCGGTAGGTGTCAGGCGGGATTTGAACCCCCATGCGTTGAAATTGTGGTGGCAACAAAGGGAAGAGAGGGAAACCGGGGGGAAGAGGTGGGGAGCAAACCTAAGGGGAGGGAGTTTGATCAGGAAGAAAAATGGAAGGGAATTAGCTCCTCACACCCACACACCCACGTTCATCAGCATAGGGTCACACTGTACAACATCCTCCCACTCCCACACACATTCCCACCCGCACTCTCACACTCACCCTCCCTCACTCCCTCACTCATTCACCCACTCACTCACTCGCTCCCTCACTCACTCACTCACCTTCATCAGCTCCATGCGTCGTCGCATTGCCTTCTCTCTCCTCCTCTCCTTTGCTGCTGCCCTTAGAGCCGCCACTGCCAACCGAACCTCCTCATCCACCCCATCTCCTCTCCCCTCCTCCTTCCCTCCCTCCCCTTGCTCGCCAACCTCTCCCGACTCCTCTCCACCGCTCAGCACCTCTAGCAGCGCTTCAGCCCTCGCTCCCAGCCCATCATACCCCACCACCCCCTCCAGCAGCAGCAGCAGTGGTAACACCCCCTTCTCTGCCCCCACCACCCCGTTTTCCGCACCCTGCTCCACCTTCTCCCCGCCCACCCTCCCCTCCTCCCCACCCGTTTCCACCTCCTCTCCACCACCAGCGTCCGCCACTCCCTTCCCCCCACCGGTGCCCAGAAGGACTCGTTGTGTGGGGGGATGGCCGCGGCACAGGCCGAGCAGCAGACCCAAGAGCAGGGGCAGGGAGGGCAGGGCGAGCGCGTGTTGCCAGGCGGGGAGGGGGCGGAGATCAGAGAGGTCGGAGGTGGGGCAGAGGGCGGTGGGGGGGAAGGACGCGAGCAGATGGCGCACAGCAGCTGGGGGAAGGAGGAGACAGGGAGGGGAGGGGCGGGAGAGGGTGGGGAAGAGAGGGGAAGCGCAAGTTGCAAAGGAGGGGAGGGTGTGAGTTATCAGCAGCTCAAATTCAAAAGCAGAGACTAAGAAGCAGGCTGAGGAGAAGGGGCAGGGAAAGGAGGGAGAGCGTGTGGTCAGGCAGGTAGGAGGCAAGAGATGAGAGAGATTTCAGGTGGGGGAGAGGGCGGCGGGAGGGAAGGAGGATACATATATGATATATCCATACCACTCTCCTAATCCGCCTGCAGGGATTTAGTGCTGCAAACTGCCCCTTACCTTGCGGAATCCCCCTCTCCAGGATGAGAGTGCGCAGCCTCAGCCCACTGCCATCCAGCCTGATTGCTCCCACCAGCCGCTCGAAATGCCCCGCCATCTGCCACCAGTGCACCGCCTTCCTCCTCCTCTCCTCCTCACTCTCCTCACTCTCCTCTTCCCCACTCCCTGCCTCCCCACCGCCACTACCCTCCCCGTCCTTCCCCTCCTCCTCCCGGCTTCCCCCCTCTTTCTCCTCTCCCCCCTCACTCTCCTCCCTCCCACTTTCTGTCACACCCTCCAACCCATCCCCATCCTTCTCCACCCCTCTCAACTCCCCCACCAACCGATCAAACCCAGCCCAATCCAGCAGCAGGGGCCAAAAATGATCCACCAGAACCCCCATAGCCCTGCCCTCCCCATACGTCATATACGGCAAAATCCGAGCCACACTCTCCGAAAAATCCCTCTTCTTCTTCTTCCCTCCACCCGCTCCTCCTCCTGCTCCTCCACCTCCTCCACCTCCCCCTGCTCCTCCTGCTGTAAACGCGCCTAGGCCAGATAAGCCTACCCCAGAAGCAGCCTGGGAGAGCGATGCAGCAGTAAGCTTCTCAAGAAACACTCTCACTGCTTCTTCTCCCCGCCCCGATCCTTCATACTTCTCATCCTTCTCATCTTGGCTATATTCTTCCTTCTCTGCTGTTGCAGTGCCCACACCGCTTTCGCCCCCCATGCTGCTACCCTCACCACCTTCCACCATCAGCAGATCCACAATCCGAAGCAATGTGTCAGCTGCAACCTCCGCCGAACCTGCCAGCGAGGCCTGGGAAGCAGCAACAGCAGCAGCAGCCACCCCAGCCGCCCCTCCCCCAGGTGCTGACGTGGCAACACCGTGCGCATACAGCGCTGCACGCGTAGCGCGGTCGAGCAGACGTGGCAGCGCGTGGGAGCGCAGCAGATGCACGCGATTGGTCCGCAGTAGGCACGCGGTGTGCAGCAGCTTCAGGAGGTCTGCCACGTCATCCTCCCCACTCGCTAACTCCTCATCTGCCACCTCCTCTAACAGCCTAAGCAGCAGCAGCAAACCGTCTGGGATGCCCAATCTACTCCCCACTTCACCCCCCTCCGCACCCCCCACTCCACCCCCTACCTCGACCCCTTTTCCAACCCTCTCCTCACCCCCTTCCTCCCTTCTGTCTGCTTCATTGGCTCCAGCCCTCTCGTCCTTATGACTCCTCAGATGCATCTGTCTCTCGCCATCAGGGCTGACAGGCACCAGAGCGGCAGCAGCAGCAAACTCCTTCTCCGGATCAGTGGTTTCCTCCCCTCCTTCCTCCAGCTCCTTCACTATCGGCTCTGTTGCCTCGCCGTCCAAGCCCTAACAACGGCGGAAGTGGGTGGGGTTTGACACATGGGTAAATGCGAAAAGAATTGTGAGTGTCAGTGCTTCCTTGCTCCCCTCCTCCAGCTCCTTCACTATCGGCTCTGTTGCCTCGCCGTCCAAGCCCTGACATTGACAACAGGATAGTGAAATGAGGGGGGTTCAAAAGAGGGATTCAAAAAAGGGGGCTCTTCGCCCCCCTCTCTTCCCCCTCGTTCATTTACATTCCACTCACCGATAACCGGAAAGTCACGCTCATAGGTCCTCCCGTACACCGAACACACGGATAGGCCCAGGGAGCAGATCTACCCTGCCACTCACTCACTCACTAGTCCTGGTCGCATCCCACTCACTAGCAACCGGCAGGAGGTAAACTTACCTGCAATCTGAAAGTGACGATCATGACTCCCCGCTGATTCCAAACTTGCTTGTACACCGCCCGCACGGACAGCCCCAGGGAGCAGATCAGCCGCCTGACCCGCTCGACTTTTGAGAATTCTCGTTTTGAGACGTCTCAAAACTGACCCGCTGGACTTTTGAGAATTCTCGTTTTGAGACGTCTCAAAACTGACCCGCTGGACTTTTGAGAATTCTCACTAGTCCTGGTCGCATCGCATCCCACTCGCCGCCTGACCCCTGGTAACATCCCGCCTGCTCACCTGTAACCGGAAGGTCACGCTCATGGCTCCCCTCTGCTTCCACACTTGCTCGTACACCGCGGGCACGGACAGCCCAGGGAGCAGATCTTCCCCATCTTGGCCCTGATCCCTCCCCTGGTAACATCCTGCTCTCCTGGAACCGGAAAGTGACACTCATGGCTCCTCTCTGCTTCCACACTTGCTCGTACAGTGCCCGCACGGACAGCCCCTCTTGGCCCTGCTCGCATCCCACTCACTCACCAGTAACCGGCAGGAATTTAGCACTTACCTGCAATCTGAAGGTGACGCTCATGGCTCCTCTCTGCTTCCACACTTGCTCGTACAGTGCCCGCACGGACAGCCCCTCTTGGCCCTGCTCGCATCCCACTCACTCACCAGTAACCGGCAGGAATTTAGCACTTACCTGCAATCTGAAGGTGACGCTCATGGCTCCTCTCTGCTTCCACACTTGCTCGTACAGTGCCCGCACGGACAGCCCCTCTTGGCCCTGCTCGCATCCCACTCACTCACCAGTAACCGGCAGGAATTTAGCACTTACCTGCAATCTGAAGGTGACGCTCATGGCTCCTCTCTGCTTCCACACTTGCTCGTACAGTGCCCGCACGGACAGCCCCTCTTGGCCCTGCTCGCATCCCACTCACTCACCAGTAACCGGCAGGAATTTAGCACTTACCTGCAATCTGAAGGTGACGCTCATGGCTCCTCTCTGCTTCCACACTTGCTCGTACAGTGCCCGCACGGACAGCCCCTCTTGGCCCTGCTCGCATCCCACTCACTCACCAGTAACCGGCAGGAGTTTAGCACTTACCTGCAATCTGAAGGTGACGCTCATGGCTCCTCTCTGCTTCCACACTTGCTCGTACAGTGCCCGCACGGACAGCCCCTCTTGGCCCTGCTCGCATCCCACTCACTCACCAGTAACCGGCAGGAATTTAGCACTTACCTGCAATCTGAAGGTGACGCTCATGGCTCCCCTCTGCTTCCACACTTGCTCGTACAGTGCCCGCACGGACAGCCCCTCTTGGCCCTGCTCGCATCCCACTCACTCACCAGTAACCGGCAGGAATTTAGCACTTACCTGCAATCTGAAGGTGACGCTCACGGCTCCTCTCTGCTTCCACACTTGCTCGTACAGTGCCCGCACGGACAGCCCCTCTTGGCCCTGCTCGCATCCCACTCACTCACCAGTAACCGGCAGGAATTTAGCACTTACCTGCAATCTGAAGGTGACGCTCATGGCTCCTCTCTGCTTCCACACTTGCTCGTACAGTGCCCGCACGGACAGCCCCTCTTGGCCCTGCTCGCATCCCACTCACTCACCAGTAACCGGCAGGAATTTAGCACTTACCTGCAATCTGAAGGTGACGCTCATGGCTCCTCTCTGCTTCCACACTTGCTCGTACAGTGCCCGCACGGACAGCCCCTCTTGGCCCTGCTCGCATCCCACTCACTCACCAGTAACCGGCAGGAATTTAGCACTTACCTGCAATCTGAAGGTGACGCTCATGGCTCCTCTCTGCTTCCACACTTGCTCGTACAGTGCCCGCACGGACAGCCCCTCTTGGCCCTGCTCGCATCCCACTCACTCACCAGTAACCGGCAGGAATTTAGCACTTACCTGCAATCTGAAGGTGACGCTCATGGCTCCTCTCTGCTTCCACACTTGCTCGTACAGTGCCCGCACGGACAGCCCCTCTTGGCCCTGCTCGCATCCCACTCACTCACCAGTAACCGGCAGGAATTTAGCACTTACCTGCAATCTGAAGGTGACGCTCATGGCTCCTCTCTGCTTCCACACTTGCTCGTACAGTGCCCGCACGGACAGCCCCTCTTGGCCCTGCTCGCATCCCACTCACTCACCAGTAACCGGCAGGAATTTAGCACTTACCTGCAATCTGAAGGTGACGCTCATGGCTCCTCTCTGCTTCCACACTTGCTCGTACACGGCCCGCACGGACAGCCCCAGGGAGCAGATCTGCCCCCTCTTGGCCCTGGTAGCAGCCCCCCCACCTGTAAGGGTAACATCCACTCACCAATAGCCGTAACATCGTGCTCACCTGCAGTCTGAAGGTCACGCTCATGGCCCCCCTCTGCTTCCACACTTGCTCGTACACGGCCCGCACGGACAGCCCCAGGGAGCAGATCTGCCCCCTCTTGGCCCTGGTAGCAGCCCCCCCACCTGTAAGGGTAACATCCACTCACCAATAGCCGTAACATCGTGCTCACCTGCAGTCTGAAGGTCACGCTCATGGCCCCCCTCTGCTTCCACACTTGCTCGTACACTGCTCTGACGGACAGCCCCAGGGAGCAGATCTGCCCTTCAACCAGCAGCTCCATGCCATAGTCATCATCCATGAGCCCGTGCAGCTCCAGCTCCTTGCATATCAGATTCTTGACATCGCGCATGAGAGGGCCGACCTGCAGTGGAAGAGAAGGGGAGATACACGCAGGTAACAAGTCGTCAGTTGCACGGAGAGCCCCAGGGCGCAGATGTGCCCTCCCAGCAGCAGCGCCATGCCATAATCATCGTCCATCAGCCCATGCAGCTCCAGCTCCTTGCATATAAGGTTCTTGACATCCCTCATTAGCGGGCCGACCTGTGGTGGCGGGCGGGGAGAGATGAGAGAGGAGAGAGGAGCATATGATTCGTCAGTGCCAGCAGAAAACAGCAACCCCACCAGCAGCGCCATGCCATAGTCGTTGTCCATGAGCCCATGCAGCTCCAACTCCTTGCAGATCAGGTTCTTGACGTCCCTCATGAGAGGGCCCACCTGCGGTTGGGAACACCGGAAGTGGGGGCGGAGGGGAGTGGCTCATAAGCTTTGTCAGTGCCAGCAGCAGCAGCGGCACCAGCAGCACCATGCCATAGTCGTCGTCCATCAGCCCGTGCAGCTCCAGTTCCTTGCAGATCAGGTTCTTGACGTCAATCATTAGAGAACCGACGTGGGACGACATTCACTGGAAGGGAGGGAGGGATGGTAAGGAGCAGGCAATAAGCTTCGTCAGCAGCACCAGCAGCGCCATGCCATAGTCGTCGCCCATGAGCCCGTGCAGCTCCAGTTCCTTGCAGATCAGGTTCTTGACGTCGCGCATCAGAGGACCAACCTGGAATGGAAGAGAAGGGGAGATAAACGCAGGTAACGAGCCATGAGTCACACCGACGGACAGCCCCAGGGAGCAGATCTGCCCTTCAACCAGCAGCGCCATGCCATAGTCATCGTCCATGAGCCCATGCAGCTCCAGCTCCTTGCAGATGAGATTCTTCCCATCCGTCATTGAAAAGCCAACCTGGACTGCCCACATGTGGGAGAGGAGGGTGGGATAAGGCCATCATCTTTGTCAGTGTCAGCAGCAGCAGCTCCATGTCACAGTCGTTGTCCATCGGACCATGCAGCTCAACACTCAGGCAGACGAACGAACGGCGAGCCTGGTAGGAGGATTACCGGTGCTGTCAATGTCAAGAGAGGACAGGTGGGCTGCGAAGGTCGGATCGGAGGTTAGGTAGGTAGGAGGATTACCAGTTGTGCTGCAGCTGCAGGCGCCTGGAATGAACTCCTCCTGTGTTGGGTTGCTGCCTTGACCAGCAGCACCAGCACCATCTTGTAACCTTGGAGTCAGGGCACGCGGAATAGGCGGAACGCAAGAACTAGCAGCGAGGGAGTAGAGTAGGCCTCAGACTTGGACTGAGAATGGACGGACGGTCAGCGCAGTGACTTTTGAGTTGACTCAAAAGTCACCTCGACTCAAAAGTCACGGCGGAACGCAAGAACTAGCAGCGAGGGAGTAGAGTAGGCCTCAGACTTGGACTGAGAATGGACGGACGGTCAGCGCAGTGACTTTTGAGTTGACTCAAAAGTCACCTCGACTCAAAAGTCACGGCGGAACGCAAGAACTAGCAGCGAGGGAGTAGAGTAGGCCTCAGACTTGGACTGAGAATGGACGGACGGTCAGCGCAGTGACTTTTGAGTTGACTCAAAAGTCACCTCGACTCAAAAGTCACGGCGGAACGCAAGAACTAGCAGCGAGGGAGTAGAGTAGGCCTCAGACTTGGACTGAGAATGGACGGACGGTCAGCGCAGTGACTTTTGAGTTGACTCAAAAGTCACCTCGACTCAAAAGTCACGGCGGAACGCAAGAACTAGCAGCGAGGGAGAAGGCCTCAGACTTTGACTGAGAATGGACGGACGGTCAGCGCACCTGTTTGGAGGAGTAGGGGTTGTGCTGCAGGCGCCCGGGGAGAAACTCCTCCTGTGTTGCAGCAATTCTCATGTGATTCAGAACCATACCACACCGTACCATACCGTACCACCTCCGTTGTCGCCCCTCAAGACAGCGCACCTGCTTGGAGGAGTAGGGGTTGTGCTGCAGGCGCCCTGGGAGGAGCTCCTCCTGTGTCGCTGCCTTGATGAGCACAACCATCTCACCCTTGGGTTCAGGACGTGGGAGACGGGTGAGTGCAATGCTAGCACTGGCAGGGAGGGAGAAGGGTATTCAGGTCAACGCAGCACGAAAACCAGACAAACGACGCACCTGCTTGGAGGAGTAGGGGTTGTGCTGCAGGCGCCCTGGCAGAAACTCCTCCTGTGTCGCTGCCTTGATGAGTAGCATCTCGTATTCGGGCTCGGGGCGTGTGGGGCAGATGGTGTTGCAGAGATGCCGGAGAAGGAACTGGAGAAGGGACACGAAGGCACGGGAGGGAAGGGGAAGAAGGAGAAGAGGAAGAGAGCAGGTGGGGTGCATCGTGAGTGTTGCTGCTTTGATGAGCAGCATCTCGTATTCGGGCTCGGGACGTGTGGGGCAGATGGTGCTGCAGAGATGGCTGAGGCGGAACTGGAGGGGAGGGGAAGGGGGAATAATGTAGCAGGGTGTGGGAAGCGAGCAGGCGGAAGGGAGGGGAAGTGTGGTATTAGAGGGGCCTGGAGGAGAGGGTAGAAGGGAAGCAGCGGGAAAGAAACCAACGAACACAAAGCGGGGGAAGGGCAGCAGGAAGCAAGGAACCAGGAAACAGCAAGCAATGACTCACAGTTATCGCCCTCCAAGAGTCACACAGAGCAGCATCTTGCACCGCCCCTTCCTCTTTTGAGGCGCCTCTAAAGTCTTTTGAGGCGCCTCAAAAGGCCTCAAAAGTCCTCAAAATTTTTGAGGCGCCTCAAAAGGAACCAGGAAACAGCAAGCAATGACTCACAGTTATCGCCCTCCAAGAGTCACACAGAGCAGCATCTTGCACCGCCCCTTCCTCCGCCACCACCAATTCCCCCAGCACCTCCACACACGCCGCCACAAACGCTCTCCTCCTCCCATCGCTCGTCTCACACCCCTCCTCACGCCCCATCCCTTCCGCTCTCTCCCCTTCGGCTTTCGTCACGAGTCCCTGCAGCAGCAGAGAGAGCTGCTGCTGACACTCCACCACCAGTTGAGTCCGTGTCACCACCAGCCCTTGCAGACCCACTAGCGCTCGCACTGCCAGCACCAAACACCTGCTGGTGCTGCTACTGCTTCGGCTGGTATTGGCGTTAGCACCCCTGCTACCGCCCCTCCAAGCCGGGTGAAAGAAGAGTCTCAGCAGCTTGGGATGCTGCAGGGCCTGCTGCAGCAGCCGAATGGCTTGCAGGATGGGATACGCCGCCGAGGCAGAGGCAGCAGGGGCAGCAGGGGCAGCCGATGAGGCAGCGGCAGCCGATGAGGCAGCAAAAGGCGAGAGTGAGAAGGAGAAGGAGGAGGGAGCAAGGAGCGGGGCCATGGCTCGGAATTCTTGTGCTTGCAGCTGGAAAACGGAGTGAGAGATGAAGGAGGTGAGTGTAGGTAGGAGGCCTCGAGATGCTAGGAAGAGCAGAGACGAATGCTGTACGCTCGGCTGGTCTACCGAGGGTTGGTGAGAGGAGGAACGGGTGGAAGCAGGACGAGAGGAAGAGGAGGAACAGAGAGCACGAGCAGCCGTGCCGGGGGGGGGTCGAAGGGGGGAGAGGCTTCCCTGGGCTGCTGATGAGTATGAATAGGGACGGAACTGAGTGGAAAGGAGGGATGTATTGGAAGAGGATGCGGTTCTGCTTTGCGAGGGTCTGCTGGAGGTAGGAGCGTGAGGAGAGGAGAGGAGGCGGGAGAGGAGCGAGAAGTATTCTGCTGAGGCTTCCCCTGCGTGTGTAGTTGCGGGGAGGAGGGACAGCAGCGACTCTAGCACGGCGTGATTGTATCGAGGGGCCACCCCTGCCAGCAGCTCGAGCAGATCGCAGATCTCTGATCGGAGACCGGGCGGCGAGCGACAGCTGGCGATCAAATCTGCAGTGAGAAATATTTGATTTCCTTGGAGGTGGTCTTTTCCAGGCTGGGCGAAGAGATGCTTGCTGCCGAAACACCAGCTCCCGAAAGAGCGCACTAGCAGCCGAAGCCTGCCATCCAGAGCGCTGCGCTCCCGCGTGCGATCACGCCAGCGGGCGGCAAACTTGCAGATTGCGGGCGGCAAAGGGTCAACCTCTGAAGCAGTACCACTGGTACCACTGCTACTGCTATTTGCACTCCCTGATATTCCGTCCCCACTCTGTAACGAATCTCCTTCAATCTGAGAAGTCGCCTCAGTCTGCCTCTCTGACCCCTCTACAGCAGCGTGCTTGCAAGAGGAGGTGACTATACGGAGGGTGGGCAGCAGCACATGGTCCGATACAGAGGGGTGCAGATGGGTGGTGGCGAAGGCCTGGAAGAACAGACGAGTAGCCAGTTGCAAACATAGAAGCTTCCTGGAAGGAGATGAAATGGCAGATTCCGACGAGCTCGAGTCTGACTCAGATGGAGACGAAGACAGGTCAGCAAGGAGCAGCAGCGGGTCCTTGACAGCTGGCGCCACGTCAGCAAGCAGATAGCCGCCCACTGCAGCAGAGACCTTAGATTCGATTAGATCCAGTAGATTGTGCAAGGCGACAGGGGATGTGAGTGCGAGGCGGGTCAAGAGGTGGCGTGCACGAGAGCGGGAGGAGGAGGGGCCGGAGAGGAGAGAGGAGGAGAAGATGGTGGGGATGGCGGAGAGAGAGAGGAGGGCGGAGGGGGCTGCTGGGATGGGAAGGAGGGCCTGCAGGAGGGGAGGGAGTAGGGGGGCGGGGAGAGGGAGTGGAGTGGGTGGATGAATCATGAAACAGAAGGGATCAACACATTGGATGAGAGAAAGATACATCGATAGCAGAGACATAAAAGGGAAAGGCGGCTCAAGAATGAATCACGCACCCGTGTAAATCACTACGAAATTCTGTATTCCGTTCCTCACGTATTCCGTTCTTTACGAGTTCTGAGGCGCCTCAAAAGTCATCTGATTTGGGGCTAACACACCTCGTGCAACTCACTTCAAATCCTCTCCTGATTTGAACCCATCTCCTCCCCTCACCCACTGCCTCACCTCCCCTCACCCACTGCCTCACCTCCAACCACTGAAGGCAGAACCCGACAAAAGTGCTGCTACAATCCAAACACACCCCGGCACCACTGCCGCTGCTACCCAACCCCCTGCTCGCCTCCTCATAACCAAAGCCTTGCTGCTGCCGCCGCCACTGCTTCTCCTCCTGCTGCTGCTGCTGATCATGATATGATTGCAGCTGGAGCTGCAGGTGCTGCTGCTTGCGGCGGCTCCTCCTCTGCTGCCCCACGAGCAGGTGGTATTCAGCGAGGGCCATCTGTAGCGCGCCCATCCTCTCTGCTGACGTGGCCAGCCCGCGGTGCACGGTGCGACACTTGTCAGCGTACAGCGCGCCCAGGATCGCGATCCGACGGCTCACGTGCGCCTGAGCGGCTGCTGCCGTGGCTGCTACGATAGATGCGGAGGAGAGAGGGAGACCACCAGTGGTAGAAAACAGGGAAGAGTCACCAGCAGCATTGCTACCACCACCGCCAGCAGTACCAGTGCTGGAGGAATTACCAGTACCCGATGCAGTGGCAGAGAGGGGCGGGAAGGCTTCTAGCAGCTGTAGCAGCATCTCCTCTCCTGCTGCCGCCGCCGCTGCAGCCGACGCTGCAGCTGCTGCTGATCCTGTCCCTCCGCCCGCTGCTCTACCTGACGTCCCCAATGCTGCCGGTATGCCTGATGCTCCCGCCCCCCCTGATGTGTCCCTGGATAGACCAGAGCTGAACAGTCCACCAGAACCGGGATCAGAACCAGGGCCAGCAGCAGCAGCAGCCAGCAGATCGTCAAACAGGTCGAAATCCAGAAGCCCACTTCCTGCTGCCCCTCCTCCTCCTCCTCCTCCTCCTGCTCCTGCCCCGGAGCCCCCTCCTCTTGCTCCTCGTCCTGCCCCTAGCCTGCCTCCTAGCAAGGCTGATAGTAAGGATGATGCGGACCCAAGACCTCCCGAGCCTCCTCCCCGTCCTCCTGCTCCTCCCCCTCCTCCTCCCCCTGCCCCTCTTGCTGCACCACTGCCTCCTGCTCCGCCTGCTGCTGCTGCTA